TCTTGTTTTTATTTTTATTTTGTTACTTTTACTTTGAAATTTATTTCATTTTGATTATTATTGATTTTGACTTGTTTTGAAAAGTTTGATTTGTGAATGCTTTGTTTTCTTTAAATAGCTGCTGTTTTTTATACTTTTTATTTCATTTGTTTTAAATTGAATGTATTGATTTGTTGTCATTCTTTTGACATTCCTTTTTAAATTCAATAGTTTGAATAGTTGTTTGATTTTGGGCTGGAATTCTGCTATTGCATGTATTAAATTGACTTTGTATATTAGCTTATTTTTAAGTTGAAAAATCCAGGAGTATTTCAGGTAGATGTTATAGTCATTGACTGCATATATTTATAATGGAATAATAATAATAATAATAAGTAGAACAATTAAGATTCAGAATATGTATTTATAGTTTTAAACATTTCTGAATCAGATGTTATTATTTCAACTCAAGTCAGAAATCAGAAGAATGAAAGAACCATGAACAATGATATAAGAAGATGAATGAGACACTCAAGAATAAAGATATCAAAAAGAAAATAGATGTACCGATAAGCAAGATAGCTGCTTCTAATATTGACATAATAGAATCAATATGATTTTTTTAAACAAAGACAGAGAATCTATCAATCATTCTATCAATTATTTTACTGATCAATTTTCAATCACTTCTGATATTTTATCTGTCAATTGATTGACAAGATGTCTAAATGTCAATATTGAGAGCTCTTCTTCAAATCAACATCTCTATCTTTGAGATTTCTAAATATTTAATACTGATGCTGAGTAATATATATGCAATAATCAATCTAGAGTTCTAATATATGAATCATCAGAAGAGTAGATTTATACAGAAGATTCAACAACAAAAGTTGTGAAATTTGAAACTATTTGAATTTACATAATCAATACTCTAAATAAGAAGTTCAAAATAATTATTAAAAATGCTGTATATATTTCTTTCTCACATATCAATCTAATCATTTGAAAACCTTGCTATCATATAGAGGGAATCTATCTCAATGGCAAATTGTTTAGATTGTGGAGAATTAGTGATGATTTGATCTTCACTTGTATAGAAATGTATAATGAACTGTTAGTTATTGAATATCACAGAACTAGTGAGAACATCTTAATACTTGCTAATATTATCTCAACTAGCAATTCAGCAGAGTTTGTGAAGATAACAGAATCTACTAAGATATTGAGATAATCAATCATTTTGTAATAGGCGCAACGGAGATATCTATGTTAGGAATAGCTACGTGGCGATAGAAGAACACGGACCACGCCAGAATCAATCGTGATGGATGTAGCGTGGTGGCAACATTGTCTATATAATGCTCGCTGATATCCGTAGATCTTAGCAGATCAGCGATTAGCTTTGAACAATAGAGATTGCTACCTTTCTAATATCCTTTGTACGTACTTCACACTACTCTTGTAATTACTTTGATAGCCCATCTCTTACACACTTTCATTTACATCTTAAAAAGTTCTACTGCTTCTAATGTTGATGCTGATAACAAAGAACTTTGCAAATCTTATTATCTTACTAAAGCAATGAATCAAATATCTCACTGTTCTCATATACAATCTAAACTATTCTTCAAGTATCATTCTGCAGAGATCATCTCTATCTTCAAAATTTTTGAATATTCAATATCAGTATTCAATAATATATCTGCAATAATCAATCATGTTATCATTTATCTGTAAGATTCAAAGAATCTAGTGATTGAATATAATATATCTGATAGCTTGTTAATGAATGTGGTTGAAACAGCTAGTGATGTCTCTTTTGTGAATAATTCAGATAGAAAATCAATAGAAGATTATATCTTTAAATTTCTTAAAAAATTTATTGATTGAAAGTCAAAGAAATAGAGAGTAATAAAAACTTTCATCACTGAAGCTGAACTACTAGCTATATCACAGATAAATAAGAAGTTAATCTGATAAAAATAATTATTTGATCATCTGAGATTCAATTCAAAGTACAAGATTTCAATTCAATATGATAATTGACAAACAATTGACATTCATACTAAGGAAGATTCTTCCATCACAATCAAATTACACCACATTGATATCTAAAGCAATTGGTTGCAAGAATGGATACAATTCAACAATATCTTAATATAATAAACATCTACAAGCAACATGCCAGCGGATGGTTGACCAAGTCATTATTGCAACAGAGGCAAAGAAAATTCATCAAATAGATAAAATTAGTTGATATAACTGATTTTATTGATAAAATAATAAAATAAGATATAAAAACTCAATGAGTTTGAATGAGAGAAGTTCAACATTCTCATATATTTTCTTTATCTATTTCTTTTCATTTTATTAATCATCATGTTTTCTACATTATTTCCTATTCTGGTAATTTTTCCAGCTTCATTACTGATGTTATTCTGCTGATGGGGGTATGTGAGAAATGATTTATCATATCAAGCATTGTGAGAAGTGATCTATCATATCAAGCAAAGATCTTCTATTATCTCAATTTTAAAAACCAAATAACTGCTCTGATGTATACCAGTACTGCCCCCATCATATATTCAAGCATTCTCTTTCTTATAAATACTATCTGATTATCATGTAATTACTGGAGTTATAATAATCAATTCAATTTACTTATTCGATATTTAGTATTTGGGTCAATATTCAGACTTATTTAGTTCCGACAGGTAGGTAGATTGGCAGCAATAGATTAGCAGTGATAGATTAGCAGCAATAGATTGGTAGCGATAGATAGATTGACAGCAGCGATAGATTAGCAGCGATAAATAGATTGACAGTGGTAGATAAATTGGCAGTGATAGATAGATTCGCCGCGGTAGATAGGTTGGCAGCGATAGATTAGCAGCGATAGATAGCTTAGCAGTGAGGGATAGCTTAGCAGCGAGGGATAGCTTAGCAGCGAGGGATAGCTTAACAAGATTGAACAGCAGTAGCTAATAGATAGAGGTAATATCTCCACCAATCATATCATCAGATTAATATCTAGATATGTATTATATAATCATCAGAATAGGGACCAAACCTCAATCAAAATCATAGTCAGTCTCAAATCATATTTTTATTTTCAATAGTCAGTACTTTACATAAAATATCAAAATTTTTATTAATCTCATTTCACTCACGTTTTAATAATTTTAGTCATTTTACACTTTCATTCTGATTCTGATTCCACTGAAAATCATGTTAAAAAATGGACTGGGATCAAATCAAATCAAATTAAACATGAAATTCATGATCGCATCAATCAGTCTACAGTGGCCAGTTTATAAATATATTCATTTATGATTATAAAAGTTCTTTCTCTTACAATTTTGTTTTATAATTGTATAGCTTTTAATAATTTCTCTGTATAATCTTCATACTGTGTTCTGTTATAATATAATATTCAATATTCTTTGATTTTAATTTCTTTTTTTATAAAAAATTGTTTAAAGGATCTTTTCTTCTAATTTTTTTTTTCCTTTCTTTTCTTAATCAATTTGTAATTTGTATTAGAATAGTGTTTAGTTCATTAATTAGTAGTACATCTATAGTAGCTGCTGAAACCATGAATTACATATTTGATTTAGTTTGATTTGATTCCAGTCCATTTCTTGATATGATTTCCAATGAGATCAAAATTAGAATGAAAGTGTAAAGTGACTAGAATTATTGAAATATAAATAAAATGAAATTAATAAATCTTGATATTTTATATAAAGTGACTGACTATCAAAAATAAGAACATGATTTAAGACTGATCATGATTTTGACTGAAATTTAGTCTCATTCTAATGATTATATAATACATATCTAGATATCAATCTGATGATATGATTGGTGGAGATATCACCCCTATCTAGTGCTGCCAACCTATTTACCCCTGCCACACTATTTACCGCTGCGAATCTATTGCTGCTGCCAACCTATCTACCGCTGGTAATCTATCGCCGCTGCGAATCTATCACTGCTGCCAACTTATCTATCGCTGCTAATCTATATAGGGTAAATCATGGTCCCATTTGGTCCCATTTTGTAAAATGGGACCAAATGGGACTAGAACTGTTAATTTATAAATAAAACATGATCTGGGACTAGAATTATAATATAAATCATGTAAAGTGACTGATTTGGTAAACACTATATAGGACCAGGACTAAGATATCTGATAATGGGACTAAGGAAAAATTTAGTCCTAGTCCTATGCAGGGTCACACAGCCAGTCTAAGTACGCCCGTTACAGAGGTAGAGTGAATCAAACTGTAAGCAGTGGTGCTGGAACTAGATGTTTATATCACAAGAGGTTCTTAAGACTCTACAAGGATTAAGCTATAGAAGATAATATGATGATATATTGAAGAGGATTTGAATTGAATGATTAGATTTTGAGGTCATAAAATGTAGAAGTCAGATTATAACAGAATGATCTGCTGGCCCCTAGAAGGTTGGGCCAGCTGCTAGCTATATACATGCAGTATTGTAGGCAGATCAAACTTGCTATGATGTAGATGGCATGATAATGCCTTGATTTCAACCTGATATGACATTGGTGGTTGCTATCTATGTTCGGCGGTGTCATATCTTTAGGGCAATTACCAATTCCGGCCTAGCACTGGCACCTTAGTGCGGGTTTCTTACAAATAAAAACTGGAGTAGGGAATATCATACAAGTGTGCAGCAGTATTTAGACTTGAAGAATGACCATCTTTAACTGCTTTAGTATAAAAGAATTCTTCCTTCTAGATAAGAAGCTGTATTGGCATTTGTTGTTGACATTTTGATTGTTTAAGATGTTGGTGAGGAAGTTATCCACTAGCCTATATTATCCATTCGCTTATAGATTACGTTAGTTAACTAGTTAAGACGGCACTAGGTCAATTGCGACTTTAAGTGTAAAATTGGATCATATGGAGTTTTATTTTTTGAAACGTTCAACATCTCCCTGCTCAGCACATTTCTTTCAAAATAAATCCTAAACAAATAATTACCTTGAAATGGGCAAGCGGAAGCAATTGAAAGATGACGACGTGGAAATGGCCAACACAACCGGCGCCCTGGGCGAAAATGACGATAGCAGTAGCGATGAAGTAGTATTTTATTTTACTCCGTCAACTGACCCCCCGTTCGAAAATCGCATTGGTCCAACTTTTTAGCTAACTGATGCTCCCGGGTAATTGCGATAGGAGATGGGTATAGTGAACGTTGATTTTGAGTGGTTCGATCCACAACCAGCAGTAGATTTCCACGGTCTCCGGAATCTACTGCGCCAGCTCCTGGACAACGATGCGCAACTATTTGACCTCTCTGCATTGACTGACCTGATACTGTCGCAACCGCTTTTGGGCTCGACGGTGAAGGTTGATGGCAATGAAGGTGATCCGTTTGCATTCCTTACTGTGTTGAATCTGCAGCAACATAAGGTATACATATATATCCCGAACGCGCTTGGCTACCTAATTCATTGCTATGGCTAACTTGATATATGTACATGTACTTGCCGGCTGATACAGGATGTACCAGTTATACAAGATCTAACAAGCTACCTTCAACGAAAATCCTCCTCCTCTTCCCTACTCTCCCACTTAGACAACCTCTTATCACAACAAAGCGTACCAGCGATCGGGCTGATATTGACAGAACGACTAATCAACATACCCGCCGAAGTCGTCTCACCAATGTACACCATGCTTCTGGAGGAGATCGCCTGGGCCCTTGAAGAGAACGAACCCTACAACTTCACACATTACCTAATCCTATCAAGGACGTACGAAGAAGTCAAATCGAAACTAGATGAGGAGGACCGGCCACAAAAGAAGAAGAAAAAAGCTGCAGAAGAGAGAAACGATATATTCTACTTCCACGCGGAAGATGAGCTGTTGCAGAAACACGCCTTATGTTATGGAGGTTACCAGTATTCCCGCCAGCAAGAAGAGGGGGCGTCGGATTCTAAACGGGCATTTCATGACCATGGGGTGCGTCCGAAGGGACATTTGATTTTAATAGAAGCTGCGAGGTTTGAGGCGGCTGTGACCGATCTAAAGGAGTATCTGAATCCCTCCTCTTGAAGAAGTATATAAATGAGAATTTTCATCTGATGGTTTGTCTTTGACATATTAATCTGTGTTTCTCTAGTTCATTATCTATCTTGCTCGTAAAGATGTGGATTGCCCGAAAAAAGTCATTGTACCATACTCGAGCTCTGCTTTTGCTCTCATGCATATATTTGCGATTACTCCCACTCGGTGCCATGCAGACGCTGCATTAGATACTCCACCTCCACAAGCTTCGTCAAGGGAATCACGTTGTCCTGTCGCACATTCTTTCCTTTAGTTCCCAGCATCAAACCATTTAAGTAATCGCATGGAAGTGGGAAGGGGAATGAAAGGAAAGACCAATCAAAAAAAAAAAAACCTACCCTATACATAGCCACAACCGCTTCAACATTGATCTTCTCGTTACTCCCATTAGGTGTTTCAGGACCCGCAGGATCTCTCCCGTATGTCTTCGCCTTCAGCCTTAGCCGTTCCAGCACTTTCCTCTCCACCGCGACGTTGGTAATCGCCTCGTCAAGCCCCTTGCGATCATTCGCCTTGATCAATTTCACAAACTTCTCAGGGTTCATCCGGAACTTCGACTCCGCCACGAACTTCCCGAAGTGTATTCGTCTTGACAGAGCCTGCAGACAATTGACATCGCACGTAGCAGACGAGCCGTAGTTCTCCTGTGCCTCGCCACGGTCCTCGCGGTCGAATTTCCGGCAGGCGTTGGGTAGGATGTCATTGATGTATCGCGCCTTGATGATGTCGTTGACGTTTACGTCGTTGGGGTGGAGGATCTTGGGGTAATTAAGGGACTGGAGGATAGGCTCCTCGAGGGCGTCTGGGAAGAAAGGATATTCGTCAGGAGACTGGTAGCGGCGCACGCGTGATTGGAGGCGCTCTTGTTCTCTTAGGAGATAGTCCATAAGACTGAGGTCTGAATCTGGGATTCTAGCGCCGCCAGGGACATAGATGGGTTGGTTGAGGGGGAATTGAACCCGCTCGATTAGGTGGAACGTTATAGTGTCTTCGAGACGGCTGGAAGGGGACGGGAGTTGTGTTAGATGTGTGCCATTTGGATTGCTCAATGTATTCATTCTATCTGTTTATTCCCCTCCTCCTCCCCATTTTCAATTTTTTGAGAACTATCAACATTGAAAATAGATCGATGGGCGGAGATTGACGGATAATTTTGACTCACATTAACTGGAATCTAATATTTTCAAGATCCAGCGCCTTGGACGCATTGGACAAGTCGATGGCAGTATCCATGTTGTCGCACGGATACTGTGTAGCGGGATGGAGGAGATGTTGGTGAGGCGAGATTGCAGCTCAAAGATCCAGAGCTAATGTCACATGATATCGGATACCAACCTTGGAACTTTAATTCAGCCACTCCAGTCGGGACGCTAACCTATTTGGACTACTGCCATCGTCTGCCAAGTTTTCTAAAATTCAGAGCCAATCACAAATTCATATGAGGTTCACTAAGTCTAATTTGGAACCCCCGAACAAACTCTTTTTGATAATGACAACCTGGCCAAGCGCCAGATTAAAAATCCAAAGGTACTACACCAGGAGTAGGTAGTTCTGTTTGCTATTGATATATTATTATCGTGTAGGGAGCATAATTTCCTAAGCACTAGCATTTTTAAAGCTTGATAGAGAGTTCAGACGTTTTGTCATTTCACAAGTGCCACTGAAGAGCTGGCATCCTCAAGGGGCGAAGCTGAGCTGTGTCTAGTGTTTTTGACTAATTTGTACAGTGCAAGGTGTATATATTGAGTGTAACTATCTCCTTGAAAATATCCAAAATACAAGATGTAGGAATGATGATAAATCATACATCTCTCAAAACAGATTTAGAGAAGACCGTGGTCGGGAAAATACTTACGCCGAAAGTTATGAATTTGGTCTCTGTACTGCTTTAATTAGATACAAGTACAAGATCAAATAAGAGAAAATTCTTTTTTTGCGCTCATGACTCTCATCCTTGCTTTCTGGATACCTGCCAGAAACGTTCAGCTGCCAGTCTAGAAGTATGGTTGAATTTCCTGCACAACAAGATCCAAACATGAAAATATTCCAAAACTCAAAGTTGACCAGGAACAACACTGTAGGATTCAGCCGTGAAGATAAACCGTTCTTCTTGTCGTAGACTCTCTGGGTCTAAGTAAATCTGAACGCCTATACTCTCCTTGTCAAGATGGTAGACCCGGAAAATCATATAGATCTCGTCATTTGGCTCTCCAGCGACTTCTACCCGCATTCTTTGCATCTGCATCGTTGACAAGTTAGTCCTCGTATCACTCAAAATACTGCAGCCAACAGACGTACTCTTCGGTATTGGCTTTTGCTCACAAAGAACCGGGTGTTATTTCCCCTGTCGTCGTCTTGACTTCTATATAATATGTCGGTCTAGCTCCTCTCCATGAGTCTGGGGGTAGGTATCCCGCGCGGATGAGAAGCGAGGTGAGCGCAGAGCTCGAATCGTCAAACACAAGATCCGCAGTTTCAGAGCCATTTCCAAGGGGCAAGGTCTTGGGAGTCTGGATGAACAGTGACTTCTCTGCGGATAGTGCTCTTCCAATTATGGCGGCCGAAGCCGGGAAGATTGAGTGTTTGAAGAAGCTCGAAAACCTAGAAATCGTTAGCGATGTATTTAATAGTAGTGCAAGAGAGGATTCTGAGGTGAGACAGACATATAACTCGCCTGCGGCACCGATCTTAATGTCATGCGCGAGTTGATTCTCTGATCGCACCCCAGAGGGCCATCCGGTGGTGGTATTCCTGTACCATTGGACGCATTCTCTAGGACCTGAGAAGCTTCTGGAGGGGTTGCTTGACGACCTAGCCTAATGACATTGCAGAGTAACTGCACGAATTGGGTCACGGGAGGAACAGGCTCAGCACCGTAATCTGGTAACGCTAGAGGGCTGGCGGGTACGGTGAAAGGTCTGATCGAACGTGCTGATGCCTGACGACTTGTAACAAACGCACCAGCCGTTTCAACTTGATAGCTTGGTTGGCGTGACCTAAGCCCGAGTTCAAAGTTCTCGGATCCCAGAATCGAGCTTACTTCAAAAGCAGTTTCTGAGCTTGATGGTGGAGTATGAACCCTTACAGTTGTGTCCTCAACCTCACCATCCTAAAAGACGGTGTCTCCTGATAAAGCCAACGGCTCCGACTCCTCATTCGAGAGTCAGACCCGACACTAGGGAGGCC